TACTCATCTCAGTATTGGAATATAGTTAGGTAAAAGCTGTTCATTCATTCACACACAAAAACGCGATTCAAACAGTCTTTTTGTTTACAGACACTATTCCATATCGCGATTAGCACAAAGCACTTGAAAATAAAGAATGTACCTATTTCCTCGGCTGGATCCGTTGCTCCTCCAAATGAAACTACCTGTAGCCTACTTCTGAGGTAATTTTTTCCAGGATTATTATTAAGATAGTACTATTATTCCTCACAGCGTCGTAAATCTGAGTCTCTTTCGGTGGGTTATCCAGCTGATGTGAGCGTGGATCGCCTCAGAGCATTTGTGTTTGAATAGAGCGCGCGCTCCGTGGGCGTGGTCAAATTAACTTTAATGAGCTGAGACGAGAACGACTATCATCTCTCTCTTTTCGTACAGATTACATGAAATGAGAAAAAATTTTTTTATATAAATTACTTCATTTAAAAGAAGATAATTCAGGCTTCATGCCTGTGTGCCTGTATACCTGTTTGACTGAGTATTTGCAGAGTTACAGATTATTTTTCGGACGCGTTTCAGAATGGACTTCACTGACAGAGAGAACGCAGAACGCGCATCATGTTTGTTTTTCTTTATTAGGCGAAAAGCACAACACTTTGTTTTTATTATGAGGTTCCACAAAAAAATACAAACTTAACAGGATCGAATGATGTACAACACTTATATGTAAGATCAAAATTAACAGAGTAATTTGAGTCTCTTTTGCACTGATAAGGAAAAAAGTGAGCTGGTATCGCCGGCGAGACCGCCGACCCCAGAAAGAAGGTATGAAGTGCCAGATCAGATTGGCACATTTTTTCAGTTTATGTGTTTGTATGTGTGTGCCTGGCAGTGTTCAGCTCCCGTATGGCGCTGGGGTCGAAGCTGTTCTTGAGTCTATTTGACCGCAATTTGAGGGACCTGAATTGTTTACCAGAGGTCAGCAGTACAAACAAGTGATGTCCAGGGTGGAAAGGGTCCTTCAGGATGTTTGCTGCTCTTTTAACGCAGCCGCAATGTAAAGTTCTTTTAAAGAAGGCAGAGGGCAGCCGATGATTTTCTGTGCTGTTTATCACCCCCGGGAGGGCTTTCTTGTCCGCCACTGAGGACAAGAAAAATAGCAGTAAAAGTTCTTAGGTGTCTTCTTAAAACCTATTCACAAAGCTGCTAAAACCAACTTTTACTAAGAAAAAAAAGAGAAATCTTAAACTAAGAGAAAGGGTGGATTCGACCTCGTTGCTATGGATGATGTCAACACACTTACTATACAACTATGCCCACAGTGATTGGCTGATAGGGGAGGGGTCTCTGACAGTGATTTAATCATAGAAATATTGTAGAACGGGTCTACGTATCATGTTACTATATTCAAATAAATATTTTAAAATACAAATGTTGCCATATTCAAATAAAGATTTTAAAATGTAGGCTGTGTCACTTATTAAACAATACGATCTAATTACATGTCTGCATCTCAAGAGATTGCAGAAATCTAGCGGCAAATGATGTTTTATAAACAAAGTTCGGGAGGAGCATGTTCAAATGGTCTATCTAATCAGCTCGAGAGGAGGCATATACACTGCCGACTCACCTAGATACCTCGATAGTTTTCTGCATCCCTCTGCTACCTTGACTCCTCTCTCTAGGCTGATTTCTTTTCCCAGCCAGGGATAGGGGGGAGTACTCTGGGACTGGGCTGAATTCCGAACATGGAGCCTCCCCTTGGACAGCATGCCAAATATGCTTATTTTACTCTTTTACTCTATTTGATCATTTGTAAGAGTGAACTTGTGAAAACAATTGCCACAGGTAATCGGACATTATTCTCCTTTTTTCCATAAAAAAAAAAAAAAGATTTTTATGTTGTTGTTTTTGCCTTTTTATTATGATAGGACAGTTAGTAGACAGGAAGCGAAGTGGGAGAGAGAAAGGGGGGACAGGATTGGGAAAGGTCCACGAGCCGGAACTTGAACTCAGGTCACCCGAGCTGTCCACGAGACTATCGGCGCTGAAGATAGGACGTTATTTCCAACTTGACCGCAATGTTTTATTCTCCATCATTGAATGCATATTGCCTGTACATAAATTAACCTTTATGTTATGTCATCACAGATTAAAATCTATAAAACAAAATATTTATTGCATTTATGAAGAAAAGGCTCATCACCCAAGGCTCTATTGCCTAAATGGTGTACAGTGTCTTTGGGTGGATTGCTGAGGCGGATTGCTGGCACGTTTGACCCCCAAAGTCTGGTCCTTTTGACTAGTGTGATCACTCCGTACCGTATGAGCCAATGTGCCAGGCGGGGCCAATAGCCTCAGACCATCAAGCACCAAGCCCAAAATGAATTCCGTTTCCACTGTCAGGCCAGTAGCCCTGCAGCGCTACCCTAAAACATGCCCGTAACACGCCTCCAAAGAACAATGTCACACAACCGCACCATTTTACCAGCTGACTGAAAACTAGCTAGATCACAAAATGAGCATGACAGAAGCAAATGTTTGCTCTTTACTTAAGACTTAAAATTCCAGCATTGATATTTGACCAATATTTTACAATAAAAAATGTTTCAGTGACAGTAATTTATTAATTTGTGTCAGGAGTTCACACCAAATATGCTGAATCAAACTGGTATTTACCATTTCTCATTAAAAGAGACCACATACCTATTCAGTTGCACCCATCATTTATTTGTGATCACAAGAATGTACAAAACAACTCCATTAAGGCTTTTAAGTCCAAAGGCTTATGCAGTTAGATAAATGATAAAATATCCTGTTTACATCACATTTCTTTAGAAAGAGTGAGCATTTCTTTTAATTTTCCACAAAATTATGCGATCTTAGGAGGTTTGAGCGATCTCTACCGTCTCACTATACTATTATTATTTCAGCCAGAGCAACAGAGGGAGCTCATGAGAAGCAAACAGGAGTTTTGAGTTATACGAGTTAACCGGAGTGCATGTTTATGCATGCGGATGCATAAGTCCGGTATCAACAAATGCACAGGCAAGAGACAGATAAAACATGAAACAAATAAATACACGATTAATATCATATATGATTTGTCTATGTTCTTCAAGCAGTCCTGGTATTTTCCATAAACATGCATGTAGCCTATTTATTATCGCAATGGTTAGCACAAGTAGCCTTATCGCATATAAATATGCCTCATACGTTGATCAGAATTCCCATCGGATCACAAGGAAGTTATTTCAATAACTCACTGGTGTCTAAAAGTGAGTTTTGAGCTGAAAATTAAGTGTCGAAGTTAGCTGGTAGCCTGAAATATAATATCATGGGAAATGAGCAGCGGTGTTGACCGTCTCCTGAGGTAAACCACACCTTTGTTCATGACCACTCCTCAAGCCCCAGTTGGCTAGCTTTGCACCAAGGTTCTCGACGGGCCATAAACCCTTGGCCCAGAGGAAGCCCTGATGAGGCCCGATCAAGCCCCAGAAGTGACAGTGGAAACCCAACTGACCCTGGCATGCACTGGCACGCTCACTTTTGGCCCGTCAGTGGAAAAACGGCTAATGGTCACTAAAAAAAAGTTGTTTACCAACATTCTTCAAAATCTTCGTTTGTGTTCTAAAGGGAGTAAGTCACACAGGCTTGGAACCACAACGGTGAACGTGATTTCACCAAGTACCACATGTTCCTGGATCAACATCTTTGTTGATCCTGGATCAACTTTCCAATCAACTAATCACATCTGAGGGACAAGTTTACAGTTTATGTCAAGTTTAGGCTTAGAACCAGGGTGAAGTACTTAGACATCAGTGTTATTCACCTTTCATTACCCTCTGATTTTAGGGAAAAGTTATGGGTAGGGTTAGGTTTAGGGGTAGGGATTGGGTAAGGACTATATTTTGGGACAGGAATGTTGATCCAGGACCATGTCTTACTTGGCAAAATCACGGTGACCTTGGAAGAACATAAGGGTGAGTAAATGATGACAGAGTTTTCATTTTGGGGTGAAAATTTTAATTTAATTTTAAATTATTGCTTCAATGTAAGGACGGAGTATTTCACAAACATGTAAAGATGTGAATAACTACATTTGAGTGAACCGTTGGGCTTTACATTGAACTAATCTTTAAGCATGCTCTGCTTTTCTATCCTTGTTGTTATGCAACTTCGGAAGAACTTCAGAATTTAAGAAGACTTGGAAAATAGCGCACAAGTCATATGGGCCACTTTCATGATGCGTTTGTGGTGCTTTTGCAGCCATTTGTGGTGAAATGACAGGCCCGAATCTATAGCCTTATTTATTGAAGTTGAAAGTCTTGCATCCAGTGACATTCTGACACAGACCCAACCCAGTAACATCCTCACACAAAAATCTATGCTTTTATTCAATCTGCTAATTAATTATTTTATTTCTGTTGAATCTTAAGAGATACATGACTGACTAAACAGATGTTCCACCAGATGCTATTTTTACATATTATCCATAATGAACTGCAGTAATATAGTAAGTGCCCAGAGTTCACATCACTGTTAAAAAATACTTTTCACCTAAAAGAATTATAGTGAGTACCTGCAATCTCATCTACAGTGGCCCCAGAAAGTATTTTGACATTTAAGTCAGTTAAAAATATAGGAAAATCTTTTGTTTTAAAGTAAATAAATATCAAAGCATTTGCTAGAAAGAGATACAGTATAGGACAAACATGCTTTTGATGCAAAACATGTCATAAGAGTTTAAGTTGTAAATAAATGATAAATCAGGTAATGCTGTGCAATGAACTGAGTTCATACATCCTGTAAAAATCACTTTGAGATTGTTCACATCACAAACGGCTCAGAAAAATGCCAATAGTTCTAAGAAAAGCTCTAGCATCATATGCTGCCAGATGCCACTTGATTTAATATTTTGCATATTAATTCAGTGCATTTGCATTGGTAAGTATCTTAATACTTTTGGGGCCACTGGATACTGTACATAGATGTTCAAAGCCACAAAAGAAAACAAGCAGTAATTATTTCCCTTTTGTTTGTGCTTCTTTATTTTTCTGGTCCCTCACATAATATTTATTGAATAAACACTGTATCTGCAGTAAAGTTGTAAACGCAGAGTGTTTGACAGGAACATTTTTGTAAAGGTTAATGCTCTGTGTTTTGAATGTGCTCAAGATTCTAAAAGTGCTTTTATATTATGTATTGCTAAAGCAAATGGCATTAAATTATCAGAGGAAATATAGACACCGACAGAAAAACAGGGGCTGTACAGGGGCTTTCATTAGTGCTGATAATACACATAGATTTCACATACAGGATATATGTTTTCAGTTAGATGATGAAATGCATATATTAAGGTTTTCGAGTGCCATCAACACTTGAAAAACATAACAGAGTAAAACAAAGCACCAATCGACACCCCCAAACCCCCACCCCCCTCACAAAAAAAAAGAAAAAAAAAAGAAAAGCTTTTAGAAATGATCACATTTAGGACTTATTCACTGTGCTTCAATAAGGTATAGCTCTGTTCTCGATGAAAATATCTCAATCACATTTAATATGAAGGTAGTTTATATCATCAAACATGCATTATGCACTTTACTCTGTTATACCAGGTTACATCACTGGCAAGCCGGTTAACTAAGAATGTCCTTCGTCCCGAATTGTTTTCCGATTCGTAAAAGGCTTTTGTGCTGCTATGTAATTTGGAAGAGCAGATAGTGTCGCCTGTTTAGCTGTGTCCATGCCTTTTCCTTCTTTGGACGAGAATCCCGTACAATGCATAACCAGTTCAAGACATTTATGTCTGCATTTCGACACCGTACCATTTAAGCCACAGCCAGACATAAAAATGGTCACATTGATAATTTGGTCTGTCTTGAATTCAATAAAAAGTCCACAGAAAGCAGTAGAAGAGAGCATGTGTGAGAATAGTGGGACGTCCTCCCTGCTTCATGTGTCAGCTCTTATAGTCTTGTGCACAGAGTCACTACAGGAGTCGGAACATACAGGGGAAGGGAGACGATTGAAGGTTTGGATGCACACTAAAGATTACCTGATTAAGACTGAGAGGAATCTATAGTTAAAGAGAGAGTTCACCCAAAAATGAAAGTTCTGTCATCTTTTTTACTCACCCTCGTGTCATTTCAAACATACTTGGCTTCCTTCCATTGAACACACACAAAAAAGGAAATATAAGAATCAAAAAGGTGCAAAAGAACGATGAAAGTTTCATAAATGTGGTCCATATGACTAGTTCGCTGAATTCCAAGTCTTATAAAGCCATTCAATTGATTTGTGTGGAAAAATAGCTTAATTTACATTTTTATTCCGTAAAATGTTTTACATCCACCCCAGGTCAATTTGGCATGTTAATGCAATATGTAATGATATCTAATCCGTGAACAAATAGTTTGCTTTGTCGAAGAATCAGTTGATCCAGTTCACAAAATCAGTCTGTTTCATTCATGTGTTCAACTTATGACAGTTAATATACTGTATGATATAATTTGACTTCCCTTATAAGACTTGGAATACACCTCACAAGTCAAATTGACCATTTCAGTGAGATTTTTGTTTGCATGGACAAGTTTTATCAGTACAATTATTTAAAAAACGTATCCTGTTGTGTTCTCTGGGAGAAATAAGTCATATGGGTTTAAAATGGCAGGATGAAGAGTAAATCATGACAGAAGTTTCATTTTTTGGGCATACTGTTCCTTTAAGGTGAGGGACTTATACATTATCAAGGAGTCAGTTACGCGTTGAGTGATGAAACCATGGATCCAGCTTCCTACATCACACTGCACTTCGCCTTCAGCTTGTCTGCACGTCTTTGCTTGCTGGAGCGCATGTTCAGACTCATATCCCGCTTCTTATCCAGGTTCAGGAGCTCCTGAAAAAGCTCCTTCACGTTGGAGTTGGTCTTGGCTGATGTTTCCATGAACGCACATTTCCAGATGTTCGCCTGAGCTTCGCCCTCCTTGGTCTCCACCTCACGCTGGGTCTCATCGCTCTTGTTACCCACAAGCATGATGGGGATGTTCTCCACGTTACCTTTGATGGCCAGCACTTGCTGGTAGATGGGCTTCAGCTCCTCCAGCGACTGCCTGCTGGTGATGGAGTAGACCAAGATGAAGGCATGGCCCTTGGAGATGGACAGACGCTGCATAGCAGGGAACTGGTGGCTGCCAGTGGTGTCGGTGATCTCCAGAGTGCATACGCTCTTGTCACAGCTGATGACCTGGCGGTATGTGTCCTCCACTGTCGGGATGTAGGTGTCCCTGAAGGTGCCCTTAACGAAGCGCAGAACCAGGGAGCTCTTTCCCACTCCCCCTGCTCCAAAGACCACCACCCGGTAATCATTACTCTGCTCTGGCATGGTTTATCGGGGTATGTGGCGGTTAAGACTCAATTATTCCCTGAGATCTGAAAAAGGAAAAAGGATTCATTTGCTACACATCCACATAAGAAGTGTATCCAATATAAATGTGTCTTCTGATGTGAACATTCAAACACAAATGAATAGAGATTCTGCAAATATTATCATTTCCAAACATCAAATCAGAAAAAAAAAAATACTTTCAGTATATTCCAATCAATCTATATAGCAAGGAAAGGAGGACCAGTACTGGTACATCTTCAACTGACCTACTACATTACTACACCGTCTGTTTGAATATCATCCAATAGTGGATTTTGTCCATACAGACAAATAAGCTAGGAAAATGGGCACATAACCAATAAATCAGAGATAGTTTTTAAAATCAATAATATATATGGAATTGTTGATAGTGTAATTGACATATAAAGCCACTCAATGTAATTTATTTAGTTTTATACACTAATTATTAATCCAAATGTTTTATAATAATTAAATAAACCAATTAAAAAAACTATTTTAAATTGCTATGCTTCACCACTACTCACACACTTAATAAATGTTACATATTATTCATTATTTGATTTATTTTTTGTCACATTTTACCCTAGGAAATCTGCATAAATTAAAGCCAGTACAAGAGGTACTACCACAATGTAATTTTGCATTAGGGCAATGAGAGTTTTGGGGGGAAATGTTTTTTTCCCTATCCCATTTTAGCATGCAGAGATGGTTTAAAGTAAACCATTTGTACGCTGATTCCACCAAATGTGTAAACATCATGGCTCTGTGGCACTATCAAAACATGGATCTGTTTGTTTGAGCACCCAGACTAGCACAATATAGCAACATCGACATATCAATAGTGTGCATGTATGGTGGGAATTGTGTGCAATAGTGTGCAATAATGGTGGGAGATTGATGCTAGAGGCACAGAAATGACACATTTCACCTATCATTTTTAAGGACATGAAAACAAATTCCTAAAAATTGGCTTAATTTTCTTAAAGCACAATATCATTTCTTATTTCTTTATTATCATTTAGGGCTGTAATATGATGTGCTTGATATTGTTCATGAGATCTACACATGACATCACTGGTAACAGGGTTGCCTGACAAAAAAAAATGTGTATATACATTAGTGTATGCCACTGTATGTCTTTGTGCCTTTGTGAATTGAGTAGGATGGTCTCTGCTGCCATCAGCATCAAGGTCATCTATTAATGACTCATTTATCTTGCTGTGAAGCAGCCGTTGGACTAAATCTCCTGTGGAAAGCAAGTTCACACCAGATATTTCTGGCATCTTACTGAATTCCTGCAGCATTTCGAGACACTTTCTGACAGCCTCAATAGAGATTTAACTAAATGCCTAATTTTTACAAGATGGACTTTGTATACACACAGCAGACCAATGCGGCCTGATTAACAGAGAACCTGTCTGAATTTTGAGTTGCTGTTTGAGAACAAAGCCAAAGTATCAGAGTTTGAATGAGTTTGATTGTTTCGTGTGGGCCAGCTATATATACATAGTTCAGTCATAAAACTCTTCTGAGCAGCTGATTGGTTCTCTTAAAGCTGACCACTTTGACCAATCGATCTGTTTGTTCTATCTACGTAACCTATTTATTTCCGTCCCGAACAAGCACAACTGCAGTACACCACAGGAATTTTCCTAGCCCTCCACCTTCCACAACACCACCTGCCTATAGATCTGTTAGGGGGTTCTGCCTATAGTTTCCTCGCAGCAGCTTACACACTATTTACTGTATTTATGTGCATGTTTCAGCAGTAGCATTCACTCATGCAGCATATATATCCTTGATGCGATCGCGGGCCGCAAATCAAAGTTGGTTCTGTGCTAATTTGATCTAATATTTGATATATTTTTTTAAATGTTGTAGATTTAAGTAGCACAGTATATTCGCTAAAATTATTGAATATATTTTGAGGCAAAGGTCTTCTAAATGATTTTCAGTTTTGTTCAAGGTAATTAAAGCAACAGTTTATTAAAATAACGGAAGAATATGTAAACGTATAGTATTTGGAGCGCCCCTGGTGTTGGTGCGAAAGGCACAATAATCAACACTTGACATGACATGGTTAGATGGTAAATATTATATATCAATTTTGGTGTCTCCCTGAGAGATAATTACCATATTTATAATATAACCATCATATTTAAATAAAATAATATATATATATATATATATATATATATATATATATATGTGTGTGTGTGTGTGTGTGTGTGTGTGTGTGATATTAAAAATATCATATAATAAAATATAATGTATTGTTACTTTTGTAAATCTGTATTAAATTATGATGGGATCTCCTTCAATGCTTTCAGAATCTTTACTTTTTAAAATAAATTTTATATTAACATATTTTAATGACAGTTATTTATTGAACAAAAATGAATTCTTATGAATGTTTCGAACAAGTAACTTAGACATTATTAAAAACATAGTATTTTAGCTAAAGTATTTGTATCAATACTGCAGTGCCGTTTGCCCCATGCTGGTGAGCCTTTTACCCCGTGTGTGAAAGGTAAAAAGCCCTCATACATTAATACGATTTTTTAATTTATCACACATTTATCTAATTGTTCACACAAAATCTGTTCCTCCATAAATGTTCAATACAAACATATATATTTTTAGTGCAATCATACACTATGGGAGTAGTTAAAAGCAATTTTTTTCTTAAGGTGTGCCTTTAGCCCGTTGTACCCTACTAGTGAAGCAGGGTAGTTCACGTTTTTGTGGTGCCATCAAGCCAATCAGCATTGTCATGACATAATTGTATTGACATTTATGGCTGAAGTGTATGGAAGCCAATTTCTGCCCCCCAAAAAAATGTTTTGGTAAATATTAGCACATACAAATTCATAATAAATTGTTATGTGTATAATTATTTTTTTTATAAAAAGTCAAACTTATGATATACTAAGTCATAATTATGAGATAAAAAGTCAAAATGACAATAAGTCAAAATTATGACTTTTAATGTCATGACATAAAAAGTCATAATACAAATTTAAAGTTTTAATCTTATTATTATTATTATGACTTTGTTTTAATGTCATATTTTTTTTTACTTTTCCTCTCATAAATATGACCAAGTGTGCTAACATTTTTGATTTAGTATGTCTGTAAAATTGTTCTGAAATTGATTCAAGTGATATCAGTCCACTGTGTTGTTATCCTTAAAGCTGTCCTGTGGATTTCACATTCTCTTAGAATTATTTATTGTTATTGTTATAGTTATCATCCTTGGTGTGAATGGGCCTTTACTATTATTAACGTCAATAAATATATCTATTGAATATTGGTGTCTCCATTTTATAAAGCATTAAACTATTCGAAACTATGGATTGTGATTTTACCATGGTTAATATTCCAAAGCCTGTGTCTGCTTGGTTGGCTATGGGTGCACGGTACCCACTCAGGCACCGCAGTAGATGATATTGCATTTGTTTTTTGCTGGTTTGTACCAGTTTGCATGATGCCAGTATACATCAGGCCTTTGAACACCTAAGCTGTATTAGAGATTCTCCTTGAGCCACTTAGGGACCTCTCAGTTGTGCATGTTTTGGGGACTCTGGGAATCCGGTTACTGTGGAAACAGACCTCTAGGGGCATGTATAGGGTGATTGAGAGAATGAGCAAAATCAAGGATGAGAAGAAGACAGATTGGGCCAAAAAAAAAAAAGATAAAAAAGATTTCTAATGTTGCATGTCATCTTTCTGTCAGTTACCCTAGTAACCAACTGGCAAACAGTGGGTTTAATTTACGTCACTGCAGCCAATTCACACACTGAGTTGAAACTATTTATAGTGAAAGGAAAATATTGGCGCTTTTCCATTACCAGTACCAGCTCGACTCGACTCGACTCGCCTTGGCTCGCCTCGACTCGGCTCGCTTTTCGCTCCGTTTTCCATTGCAGAAAGTACCGCCACAAATAGTACCCGGTCGTCATAGCGACGCATTTCGTTCCTCGTTGCCCCATCAAGCTCTCGCTGGATCCTCTCTTCGGCAACCAAACAAATGAATGTCTGCACCTCCTCGTTTGACCACGGCGTATTCTTCCGAGTTGCCATAATAATAGTAGTAAGTTTAGTAACTATCTCTGGCCAAACTATTTAAAAATGGCGGGGTTATTCTGGATACTCCATCTGGCGCGTGCAATGATGACGCAGATTCTCTGTGACCAATCAGCAGTCGGCATTGTTTTCACGTCACATTTTAGTATCGGCTTAGCTCGCCTCAGCTCGCTTCAGTGTTGCCAACTTAGCGCCTTTGTCGCTATTTTTAGCGACTTTTCAGACCCCTTTAGCGACATTTTTTCAAAAAAGCGACTAGCGACAATTTTAGCGACTTTTTGGACAAACCTCAGTAACCTCCAAATGTTGTCAGTACTGTCCTGCGAGCGCGAGGTCTTGCTTTCTCCCTGTCGTCACTCTCTCTAGCTGCGTCTCCCCTGTTCAGTGAATGGCTGAGAGGAGCACACGGCCGCTGACAGACGCGAATGAGCAGTGTTTTTCCACGGACTTATCACTTATCTGCTTCTCTTTTAGTTTGACCATTTAAATTTAATTTCTTTTATTGTGCTTATTACTTGTAACACTATCACAGAGCTTAGTTCATCCGGTTCCCTAACTCTCTCAATTCAGATAATGTTCCACATAGGCCTATACAAAATGTAATCATTCACTATATTATAGCTACTCGTTCAATTGTCTGACAACAACAAAAATAGGAAATGAGAACAGCTTTATTTGACATTCGGCTATATTATATTGAATAGAGCATTCATTTAGAGAGAAAACGCACTAGGCTGACAGAACGCAAGTACGGCGCGATGACGTCATTAATATGCTAATTGACGTATGACGTCATCTAGCGACATTTAGCGACTTTTAGGGAAGGCCTTAGCTACTTTCCTTTGAAAATAGTTGGCAACACTGGCTCGCTTAGAACCTCGCCGGAGGTGGTACGAAAAAAAGTACCCGAAAGCAGGTACAGGTACAACTTTTACACAGTGGAAAACCAAACAAAGGCGAGTCGAGTCGAGCCGAGCCGAGCCGAGGCGAGCTGGTACTGTGTAGTGGAAAAGCGCCATATGTAATCTAAGAAAAGTTTTGTTTTAGTTTAATATGTATACACAACATAATGTAGGCTACTGGTCGACACTGATTATGTGCATTTTTCGCAAAAAAAAAAAAAAAAGAAACACCTTCATATCCACAGCTATTTCCCCTGAGGTGAGGATATGTTTAAATGAGGTTGTCTAAAAGGCTACAAGAGACATACAAACGTCTATCGCATGTGATGTCTAAAAATACCATAGCCCACCAACTCAAACTCAAGCTCGATCCCGAGTTCTTAAAATCTCTGATGGAATGCAGAACTGAGATGGTCCGCATCTCTTAATCAACGGGGCTTGCTGTTTCAACTGGCGTTAATATTGCGCGTAAAGCTGTAATTAGGCATCCTGTTATTTTATCTCAGACAGTTGGGTAAAAGCACATAAATAGGCCATGCAACATGAATACACAAGCATTTTGAAGCAATGAGAGGCCGTGGATAACACAACACGCTATTTAGAATTTTGTTTAACTAAATAATGTCGCGTTCACATTCACACGGAAACAAATAGATCATCCGAGCTTATTTCACATACATTCGCACTGAACGAAACGTCAATTACAAAAAGGAAGAGCCTACGCGTGAAGTCGATAATCGCTTTGTCGTCAAAAGAGTATCGTTCGCGCGCACAGTCAATGAATCATAAAATGCAAAGGCTCCTCAGAGTCATTACGTTGCTGTGCGCCTAAAGATGCTATTGCGGTCCGTCACACGAAATTCTACAAGGACGCGCGTCAAAGACATGAGCGTAGGCTATCGATACACGAAAGCCGTATTTGTCTAAACGCTTTACATATTAAAACTAGTATGTATATATAGATACTAAAAGCAATCTTACCTGGCGACTGTGTTGCAACGTCCCAAATCTTTTTAGTCATAAATTATAGGAAGCATTAGAAGATCAGATACACGACAAATGTCTTACATTCTCTGTCGTACCAGTCCCGTTTCATTTTCTCGTGTTATTTGCATGGCGTAAATCGAGTGATGTCGCTGAAAATGCTGTTATTGCTCTTCGGGCGGGCGGGCGGTTGCGCGCGCTCCAGCTGTCCTACCACGTCCTCTCTGACGCACGCAAGCACGCGATATGCGGCTCACCCCCGCGTCCTGTGTCCCGTTACACGAAGAGAACAAAAACCCCACCTGCTCTATACCGTTAAACTGTTCTCCATCTACGCCATGTTGATCATACAACATTGTTCCGTCACTACATGGGGATGTTATGATAAAACACCATTTTGTCCTTTATGGCACACACTGGGCATGGATGGAGGCGCTGGAATGATAAAAAAAAAAAAAAAAGAATAAAAAATTTAATATCTATAAGAAAATAGTGTTTTATAAGGAATAGACGGTCTAAAATTCTGATAGACTATATAATTAGTCTATAAACGACACTATATGTGGTTATATATGGTTATGATAAGGTTAAATCATCACTACAACACATTATTTTGAGATTGGATCAGATGCCATATACATGTAATCAGGTTGTATGAATTACGCAGTGACGCATTTAACTTGCGATATGTAAACAAGAACAACAGACTCCCACACTTATAAGGTGTGCTCATCTTGTCGTCAGGATGATCACTTTTGTTCAGTGGTGTATTAGTATTTGTCTCCCTCCAATGGTTTTCTGATGCATCGACAAAGCAATCATTTCACAGCAGTGTTGGATAGATTTGATTATGTACATGTACATAGATAATGAACAAGCATGTAACGTGTAGGCCTATACCTCAAGTACATGAAGTTGCCCCTACTCAATGTTACTCATTGGCATCACACATCAAATGGTCACTGCCCCTTAATTCGAAATCATTGTTTTCAATCCAACACTGAAATATAATTATTTTATGGCATGCCGTTTAAATTAGCCTACACAATACTCTTTTGCAAAAAGACTGCTGACTTTTTATAAAACTACTGACTAATGTATATACAATGCTTACCAAAAATGAAATCTATTTTAATATATTAGCATGTTACGAGATAGTGACAGTATTTTTTTAAAAGAGAGTGCTGCACACATATTGACTTTTCACATTAACCACTATAAATGTGTCATTTTGTTGTTTTAAACTACCGTTAACGATTTTCCCATATAGTCTTCCAAACTAGTGATGTAGGCCTTTTTTTTATTCCAAGGCTCGCCAAGAGAATAGTAAAAGAGAATAGTAAAAGTGCATGCCATCCTACAAAACCTTTGTATAGTTGTGTAGTTATAGTACCGGTCAAAAGTTTGAAAACATTACTATTTTTAATGCTTTTGGAAAAAAAGTCTCTTTTATGCTCATTAAGCCTGAATGTAGTTGATGAAAAAATACAGAAAACAATGTAATATTGTGAACTATTGTTACAGTTTAAAATATTGTTTTTCTATTTTAATACACTTTAAAATATTATTTGTTTATGTGATGCAAAGCTGAATTTTCATCAGCCATTACTCCAGTCTTCAGTGTCACATGATCCTTTAGAAATCATTACAATATGCTGATTTATTATCAATGTTGGAAACAGTTGTGCTGCTTAATATTTTTTTTTATAACCTGTGATACTTTTTTCAGGATTCTTTGATGAATAAAAAAAAGTATTTTTTCTTTTTTGAAAGAAATAAACACTTTTATTCAGAAATAATGTGTTAAATTGATAAAAGTGATAGTAAAGATTTATATTGTTAGAAAGGATTTATATTTTGAATAATTGCTGTTCTTTTAAACTTTTTTTTCATCAACGAATCTTGAAAAAGTATCACAGATTTCATATATATATATATATACACTCACCTAAAGGATTATTCGGAACACCATACTAATAATGTGTTTGACCCCCTTTCGCCTTCAGAACTGCCTTAATTCTACGTGGCATTGATTCAACAAGGTGCTGAAAGCATTCTTTAGAAATGTTGGCCCATATTGATAGGATAGCATCTTGCCGTTGATGGAGATTTGTGGGATGCACATCCAGGGCACGAAGCTCCCGTTCCACCACATCCCAAAGATGCTCTATTGGGTTGAGATCTGGTGACTGTGGGGGCCATTTTAGTACAGTGAACTCATTGTCATGTTCAAGAAACCAATTTGAAATGATTCAAGCTTTGTGACATGGTGCATTATCCTGCTGGAAGTAGCCATCAGAGGATGGGTACATGGTGGCCATAAAGGGATGGACATGGTCAGAAACAATGCTCAGGTAGGCCGTGGCATTTAAACGATGCCCAATTGGCACTAAGGGGCTTAAAGTGTGCCAAGAAAAACATCCCCCACACCATTACACCACCACCAGCAGCCTGCACAGTGGTAACAAGGCATGATGGATCCATGTTCTCATTCTGTTTACGCCAAATTCTGACTCTACCATCTGAATGTCTCAACAGAAATCGAGACTCATCAGACCAGGCAACATTTTTCTAGTCTTCAACTGTCCAATTTTGGTGAGCTCTTGCAAATTGTAGCCTATTTTTCCTATTTGTAGTGGAGATGAGTGGTACGCGGTGGGGTCTTCTGCTGTTGTAGCCCATCCGCCTCAAGGTTGTGCGTGTTGTGGCTTCACAAATGCTTTGCTGCAGACCTCGGTTGTAATGAGGGGTTATTTCAGTCAAAGTTGCTCTTCTATCAGCTTGAATCAGTCGGCCCATTCTCCTCTGACCTCTAGCATCAACAAGGCATTTTCGCCCACAGGACTGCTGCATACTGGATGTTTTTCCCTTTTCACACCATTCTTTGTAAACCCTAGAAATGGTTGTGCGTGAAAATCCCAGTAACTGAGCAGATTGTGAAATACTCAGACCGGCCCGTCTGGCACCAACAACCATGCCACGCTCAAAATTGCTTAAATCACCTTTCTTTCCCATTCTGACATTCAGTTTGGAGTTCAGGATATTGTCTTGACCAGGACCACACCCCTAAATGCATTGAAGCAACTGCCATGTGATTGGTTGATTAGATAATTGCATTTATGAGAAATTGAACAGGTGTTCCTAATTATCCTTTAGGTGAGTGTATACATATATTAGAATGGTTTCTGAAGACACTGAAGACTGGAGTAATGGCTGATGAAAATTCAGCTTTGCATCACAGAAACAAATTATGTTTTAAAGTATATTAAAATAGAAAACCATTATTTTAAATTGTAATAATAGTTCACAATATTACTGTTTTTCTATATTTTTCATCAAAAACATTAAAAATAGTAATGATTCCAAACTTTTGACCGGTGCTGTATATGTGTCACACATGTGACAACTTTCCTCCACCTGGCATTAATGAAAAATATTTAATTTTTTGAAGAACAAAGTCTAACCTTTCATTCAAAATGTACCTTCATTATATAGATGACACTTGCCTTTATGTATCCTTGTGTGGTTTCTAGCACAGGCTGTCAGGTTTTGATTTTATATCTGTTGGTATTTGATCGAATCCATGATGCCATGTATCTGAACAAGTTGTCCAGGACCTCTGGCAGAAAATTAGGCCAACAACATTAAAGATACAGCACAGTATTTCATTTTACACATGGGGTACTTTTTATCCCTGTATGAACCAACCCCATATTAAGTGTTTGCTGCCAAAAAGCTCTTCTTTTTTTTTCATCTGTCCATAGAGCATTTGAAAAGTAACTGACACTACTGGAACATCAAACGGAGCGGGTTCGATCAAATACCAACAGATAAAAAAATCAAAACTTGACAACCTCTGATAGAAATCTTATAACGGGCCATGTTTGGATCTTCCAACAGGATAGTGATCTAAAAACAAACATCAAAATCAAAACAAAAATGTGTCACTGAGCACAAAACCAAGCATCTGCAATGGCCATCCCAGTCCCTGACCTGAACCTATAGAAAATGAGTGGGCTGAACTGAAGAGAAGAAGCGGCAACATGGATCTGGGAATCTGAAGGATCTGGAGAGATTATGTATGGGGGAATAGTCTCGGATCTCTTGTCAGGTGTTCTCCAAACTCATCAGGCATTATAGGAGAAGACTCAGACCTGTTATCTTGGAAAAAGGAGGTTGCAAAAAGTATTTTTTAGAAAAAAGTAAGTAAAGTAAAGGGGGCAAATTGTTCCCAACGTGTTTTGGAGAAAAACATTTATTTCATATAATGTGATTTTCCCCCTACTTTCAATTATTTTACTTCAATGAAAGGTTAGATTTTTGCAATTTTTTAAAATAAAATATCAAAAGGATTAACAATGCAGATTTATTTTTTTACAGCCATCTTTGATTTACCAAGGGGGCAAATCATTCTGACCAGCACTGTATATATATGTATGTATGATATGTATATATAAAATATTGACAAATATAGATTTTGACATATTTTCCTGCCAATATTTACGTTCGAGATTAAAAAAAAATAAGGAGAAAAGCGTATGTGTGTGTGGGAGGGAGAGGGAGAGGGGGGAGAGAAAGGGAGAGGGGGGAGAGAAAGGGAGAGGGGGGAGAGAAAGAGAGAGGCGTGACATCAGAGCGCGCAGCATCACTGAATGCAGGGCATCATCATCCCCACAGAGAAAGACAGCAGCGCCTCCACGCCCAATAAACACCACCAACGCCGCTGAACATGAGGTAAGATTTAAACAAATTGAAATCTATTAGCGTAAATGTTAAATCATGGATGACAGATGGATCATAGCACATGCATGTTTGCGGGTATTTGTGCGTTAAATCCAACGGTGAAATGTGTGTCCGTGAGACGTGTGGTGAGGTCCTGATGAGAATATTTATGAGGGCGCCAGAGAGGACTGCTCACCAGAAGCGTTTTCCCACGAATCTTACGATTTAATGCCTAAATATGATTAAATTGGACTGCCGGATAAAATATACGTAGCCTAATTAAGGGATCTAAAAACGAACAAAGATTTTCTCTGTCTAGCTATCGTAGCTAAAATATCACGACCAAGGTCAACAATAAAACATCAAAGATATCTGCTCTACCCGAGTCATGTGTTTTAAAATTCACAAATCCGAGGGTCATTTTCTTGTTCAAGTTATGATATAAGCTTCTTATCAGTCATTTGAAGCCATTCAATGCCCATAGAAGTAAGGAAAGGATCTTGTCTAAATGTTTTTCAGCCTCCATCACCTTGAATT